TGTTAATCATTTGAACGATTGGATGTCGATATGATTGAATCCAAGATTCGTAATTGTGAATTGCGAATTGGAATAAACGTAGAGAAAGAGAGACATGCGGAATTTAGTGAACTTTCTAAATTGGGAAGTTTCCCGATTTAGCAAGTCCACTGAAGAGGAAGTTTCCAATTTTGGAAATTGGAAATTTCGAAGAGGCACTCGTATCGACGAGGACTATGAGCTCGTCACAAATATAATTTTGTTATAATTTTGTGGACGATCGTTTATTAGAAACGAGGCCGACGAGGGAATGGGCTTAATGCATCAGTGGGTCAAGCCCAATGACTTAAGCCCACTAGGGTTGAAAACCCTAAGTATAAATAGACCTCAAACAAGAGTTTGAGATCAGATTTTTCAGCACCAAAACCCTAGCCGCTCAGCCCCCTTCGGCCGTTGCTGCCCCGCACGCGCCACCGCCGACCACCGCCGGAAACACCGCCGGTTTTCTCCTCTTTTTCCTTCGTTTTATTCGTGTTGTTATCTAACTCGTTTACATCTAGTGCTGTAGTTCGAGTGGGTCGAAAATACGAGGTGAAACCTAATTGGAGAGGAGCTGCTGCCCCAACGAATCCACGCACCGCCGCACGCGCCGCACCGCCGCTGCTGCTGCCATTCGTCGCCGTTCGTTGCTTGCTGGATCAGCTTGTTCCAGCCGTGAATTGCAGCTCCGAGGATTGGTAATTTGCAGCTTGTACGTGACTCGTTCTAGGATTTCGATTCGTCGAAATCACACGCTACAAGAGGTAAATGAATCGAAACTTTCGTAAATTAATTCGAGCATGTTTTGTATGAATTATAATTTATGATTGTGAGTAATATGTGATTACGTGTTTCGATTTCATTGAATGATGAATAAGCATGTTTCGTGATTTTCGGTTTTATGTATTTTTCAATTAAATCGATAATTACCATATGTATGGCGGAAGCGTTAAGGTACGTTGACTATGTGATTAGTTTATGCGTGTAATCGAAACTAGTTAGATATAAAATTTTTAAATTCCGCTGCGTATACATGCACGATCCCCAACAGAATAGGTAATGGATGTATGCAAGAATAGTTCAAATTGTAGTATGTGAGTTTATATTATAGATAAAAGAGGGAAAAATTGTGGGTCTTATATTGTACAATTTGTGTGGCAGGTTTCGTAAAGTAAATTCGAAGTTTCAATTTGAAAATATTATTGTATATGACTAATTTACTATTACACTTTACAATATTGAAAAAAATAAGAATAATCGAGTCAACTCACAGTTTTCTCATTGCCTCGGTCGTCGCACTTATGCTCAAAATGAATATTTAATGGTTGGTATCATTTATTTATTTTGAACTTTTATGCTATTTTTTAGGCTAATTAATAATGTTATTGTTTAGCTACAAGAAAATCCTTCAAGATCGATTACTCGAGCTGAGAAATGGTTAGCAGCACATGAGCACGTTGATGGGACTATCTTAGAGAGTTGTTACTTTGAACGATGTACTACAAGTTAAGTGGAAACATGTGTGTCATATTCTGCCCAAGCACGTTTTTTTTTAAAACAATGTCGAGGTTTTAATAATGTTAATTGACAAAAAAATAAATATTTTGAAAAGCTGATTTATTTATAACAAATCTAATCGTTACTATTATTAAAATTTCTCAAAATTATTTAACTTTTCGAACGATTATATCCGTTAGCAAATTAACAAGTGTTACGACACAATATGCTACAATTGATTTTCTAACACAACTAACCGTTAGTATTATTTACGTTTCCAACGGTGTATTTTTGGTTTCTAACGAATCTAACCGTTAGCAATAGTAATTTTTTTCTAACAGTTAATTAATTTGCTAACGGAAATATGTGTTAGAACAAATAAAAAAAGTATTACAATCAATACCGTTACAATATAACTTCTAACGGATATAAGCGTTACATTTAATTATTTTTCTAACGGGTCTGATTATTTATTCTAACGTACCAATTCCGTTAGTAATATGAACCTCTGAATTTCTAACATGCGTTTTCTAACGGAATTGCGCCGTTAGTAATATTTATTGTAACGACTATAGTTTGTTAGAAAATGTTTTTCTTGGTGTAGTGAACGCATTGATCAAGATGATGGTGAACAGAAGTATGACCGACAAAGCGGTGAAGATATACAAGAAGATGGTGCAGAGTGAAGTCGGAGCTTCGGTCCACACTTATAACATAGATCATGAAATCGTACTTTGTCGCAAGAGATTGCGAAATGGGGCTTGCGGTTTGGGAGGAGATGAAGAGGAGAGGATTTTGTCCGGACGAGAACTCGTATACAGTTCTCGTGGGGGGGCTTGTAAGGCAGGGGAAATTGAATGAGAGTTGTAGGTATTTGGAAAAGATGATTGATAAAGGGATGCGGGCCCCACGGATTGATTATAAGAAATTTTTGGCTTGTTTTTATTGGAGTGACGGAAGGAATTGTTTGGAGGATTTGGCTAAGAAGATGAAATTGTCTGGTAATTCTGAGGTGGCTAATTTGTTGGAGAGATGGGTTAAGTGATTGTGATGACGATGACGACGACGACGACGATGATGATGAAGAGTTTATTACTTATTAGTGATGAGATTAATTTGTAATTGTATGATTAGTTATGTTACTTATTGGTGGAGAGGAGTATGAAATTTTGTTGTAAATGATTGTGGCATTGTCATTTTCATATAAACTTTTGTTATCATGAAGTGAAATGTTAAATGTTACTTTCAATTTTGTTAATATTAATTTGACTTCGAATATCGCTTTGATTATTTTCTAGTTTGAGTTTGGTAAAACTCAAAATACAGAAACTGTAGTTCTTTGATCTAGCTCTCTGATCCGACTTGAATCCGCTGAATTGGATGTCGGGTGATAAAGTTATGCACGAATGAGTTACATTTTAAAAATCAAAGTTGTGGGCGGTGTTTCACTTATTCATGAATATATTTATCATACTACATTCAATTTTGTTAATTCAAGTTGGATTAGAAAGCTAACTAAAAGAACTATAAATTTCACGTTTAGAGTTTTGCCAAATTCAACCCCGAAAATGGTCAAAATCACGTTTAAAATCAAAATGATACGCACGAGTTTACCGAATTTATCTAGTGGCCGTGGATAATTAATGTACATATTATTTATACAAATTAGTTGTTGTAATAAAATACATTTGTTATTTGCATTTTGTGCATATCATTACAAAAATAGAAAATAATAAAATATAATAATTATGTAAAATAATATCTCTTTGGTAGAGAAGGGTTAGAAATAAATACACTTAATCTCTAGTGAAGTAAAAGAAAAGAAGAAACTAAAAGGAAAATAGAAAAAAAAAAAAAAACTTGTTGATTACGTTTATCTCCATCACTTCATATCCATACTTATCTTGGGTTTCGGTTTTACAGATGCTACATTTGGTTAAATACACCTGAACATCATATTATCGTAGATTCACACACACAAACATTTTGTTTTAAATAAGAATGTGTATAATTAAATATTACTAGATGAATACACCGAGTACAACATATAATAAACTTCACCATCTTATTTCTTTAAAAACTATATATGCTCCACATTTCTTACCTTCAAGAGAAGATTTTTACTATGTAATATTCTTGATGGCATTAATTACGAATAATGAAAAAATTAAGGTAAATTCCCATATTAATTAATTTTTTGACAAATAAAATCCCAAACCTACATTTTTTTCCTAAAGAAGAAGATCCCACGTAAAAGTGTTGTTATATCTTTATCTACACAAATAATATTGTAGGAAAATTCAAAGCCCCATTCGAAAAGATGTTTATGTATTAAAACTGCAGATAATCTAAACATATATTAAATAAATAAAATTTAAATACTTTCTATCTCCCTCCATCTCTTCCCCCTTCACTTATAAATCTTTAACATTACTTACACACACAGTGAAGAACAGTAAAAAATATTATATTTTGGATATTATTAATTTATTGTTCTTATTATTTTTTATGTTTGCTGAGAAAGAAAGAAAGAAGAATCTTATACTTACATGCAGTCATGAATGAATGATGTTTGACAGCAATTTGATTTAATCCTCCATTTTTAGCATCTTGATTTATTTATTTAATCCCATAAGAATTATATTGTTTTTGTATTATATTATTTTTTTTTAATTTTTTTTTCAGATGAAACGAAGCTCGTGTATCGTGTTGCGTCATATTTTTTCTCTCATGGTGCTGGTATGTGTTTAATTCAGTTTTGTTGTTTTTTAAAGAAAGTACAAATGATTAACTTTAATGAGTTAAAAAAATTATATGAATTGCTAATTTTGCTTGTTGCAAGTACTTATGGTGCTTTCTCTATCTTGTTTCTTGATCCCATTATGGATCATTAGGGTTACTAAAATCGGAAACGAAGTGAAAGTTACCGCCAAAAAAACTAATCAAGAATTAATTTCCGGTATTCAAAAAACTGCCACATTGTTTTCTCCTATTTATGCATCAGCCATCAACTTAGTTCGATATTTACCTCGTCTCTCGATGAGCACGATTTCCAATTTTCCAAAATTGAATCGAAGGTCAGTAAGTGGCGCGAATTCGACTTCGAGAACTTATTTATTTCTCGGGATATTTTTTTATTGATCATTAAATGCAGGTTGCTTCGACGCTGTTTCAAGCGTTATCCACAATACCGTATCTATCGCAGATTTCTTACGTTGGATTAGACGGCCTATTCTTTTCTTCCTATACTCAAGAAAATCAAATTTACGCAATGTACTCAAATTCGACATTTTCCGATGCGAAGAACTACTCTTGGTACATCCAATCTGTGAATCGTGACAGTGGAAAACTATACGGTGAAGAAATTAAGTCACCTCCGTTTGATGTAGTAAACTCGACCTATTTTGAAGAAGCGTCGAGTAATAAAAACGGTGGGAACTTCATGGAGAGATACTCGGAATATTCTTCTGCTTAGTACTGTCAGTATGTACGGAAAAGGGGTCGTTTCTTTACGTTATCCAATGCAATCACTCATCCATTTCTTGATTAATGAGATAAGATTTTACGACGGGAGCTTTTATTTGGCTTCTAAAAGGGATGGGAGTGTTCTAGCTCAAGGGATTCCAAACACTCGTATGATCTTAGCTGGCGATCGAGTGGCGTTTCAGTTATTAAGCGAAGATGATTATGGAGTTAGCGAAGTCGGAAATCTCACGTGCCAATCATATGATGACAGCACGTCAAGAAACTATGTATTGAGCTTTTCGGGGATAGAGTATGTGATTAATTGTTCGCCACTCGACATCGCCGGACTCCCTTTGGTAAGATTCGTTTCATTTCGAACCAAAAAAAAGAGATTCTTGATTTATTTTTTCATAATTTTTTTTTTCCGATTTTTGTAAGGTGTATGCATTGGCTATGCCACACGAGGGACTTTCGAGCTTAGTACACAAGAACATAAAATTGGCATTCGTTCTGTTAATGCTAATGATTGGCGTTGTGGTTATTACGATCTTGACATTCGTGTATCTCATTGTCGAAGCTGTGAGAAGAGAGATGCATCTATGTGGGGCCCTCATAAGCCAAATGGAAGCAACTCAACAATCGGAGCGAAAGAGCATGAACAAGAGCTTAGCATTTGCAAGCGCAAGCCATGACATATGTGCTTCTTTAGCAGGGATAAACGGCCTGATAGAAATATGCACGAACGAGGTTTCGAAGTGGGACCCAGTTAGATCGGAAATACCTGCGAATCTACTACAAATGGAATCTTGCACGAGGGATCTTTTGGGAATCTTGAACTCGACTCTCGATACGAGTAAGATAGAGGCAGGGAAAATGCAGCTCGATGAGGAAGAGTTCGACTTGGAGAAACTAATGGAAGATGTGGTTGATTTGTACCACTTGTGGGTACGAAGAAGGGCGTGGACGTAATTTTGGACCCGTTCGATGGCTCGGTCACGAAATTTTCTCGTGTGAGAGGTGATAGAGGGAAGCTGAAGTAGATTTTGAGCCACTTGTTGAGCAATACTGTGAAGTTTACGTCGAACGGGCATGTGGTGGTTCGAGTTTGGGCTAAAAAACCGAGTCTTGAGAGCGGGATTATTACTTCGAACAGAAGCAACTCGATGAGGTGTCTTTTGTGCTTGTTCAAGATCCAAAGAGCGTATAGTGAATCGGAAGCTACTCAAAGGGAAACAAATAACCGCGTGGAGTTTGTTTTTAAGGTGAACGATACGGGAAAAGGGATTCCGAAAGAGAAGCAAAAATCGGTTTTTGAAAACTACGTACAAGTCAAAGAAACTGCACTCAGTCAAGAAGGCACCGGTTTGGGGCTAGGAATTGTTCAATCTCTGGTAAAACAAACTGTAATAACTGATTTTTTTATTTTTTTTTCTTGTTTTTTTTTTCTTTTTCTTGATTGATGATGTAGGTTCGTTTAATTGGCGGGGAGATAGGAATAGTGGATAAAGAAGCGGGCGAGAGAGGGACTTGCTTCCGGTTCAATGCATTTTTCGAAACGGATAATAATTCTTCTCCGAGTGCTGATATCGAGTCTATTGGCCATGACTTATTTCACCACTCGGGTACTAGTTTACGTACCCACAGCCTGAAAAATAAAGGCTCACAAGTCCTGCTCTTGATTGATAGTCCCGAAAGAAGCACTCTCTTGCAAGGTTTCATGCACAGAATCGGGATTAAAGTACACGTTGTGAAGCAGTACGAACAACTCTCTCCATCTTTGAAGAGGATCAAGCGGAAGCTGAATTTATCCTACTACAGCTCTTCGGGAAAATCCACTACTTCTAGTGCACGTTCAAAAAAAGAGTTCCCCTTGAGTGCTCTAGAAGGAACGGACAACGTTTTACCTAATCCTCGGGCCAGTTATTCGGGCTTTGTTTTGATTGTGATCGACACGAGTGTGGGCCCGTTTAGGAGATAAGTAGGGTTGTGGCTGAATTTAGAAGGGACTTGAGTGAAAATTGTTGCAGTAGAGTTGTTTGGCTTGATAGTTTACAAGGGATTGATGAGGATAATCTGTCACCGTTGGATTTAGTCATTTCGAAGCCGCTTCACGCGTCCTGCTTGTATCAGACTATTGGGCTTTTACCTGAATTCGGGGGGCTGCCGCCCCCAAGAAAGGGAGAAGCTTCACACAGTGTTGAAAACATTCGACGTGGAAATGATGTTGCTAGTTCGGATGGGGGGGCAAATAAGAGTTCTGTGAAGGGATCAAAGTGTGAGATTGAGGAAGTTGGAGGGGCAAACAACAAAAAGAAGCTGTTGCTGGGGAGGAAAATACTCGTGGGGGACGATGATCCGATCAGTCGAAAGATTGCTACTTTCGTGGGTGTGCAGCTTGGTGCAAGTATATTTCCGTGTGAAAACGGAGAAGAAGCTTGGAAAGTAGTCTGCAAGAGTCTAGACGAACGAAAGCATGTTGGAGCTTCGGAAACTTTATTCCCTTTCGATTGTATACTAATGGACTGTGAGGTAAAATAAAACGCCCCGATCTTTTTTTTTCAATCCTAATTTCTTCGACAGTTTATTGTATATTTTTTATATGTGTATTATTTTGGCAGATGCCGGTGATGAATGGAGTCGAAGCAACGGCAAGAATCAGAAAAGCAGAGGAAAGTTACGGTGTTCGTATACCAATCATCGCACTAACTGCACACAAGAAGGGGCAAGAGATCGATAATATGATTCAGGCTGGAGTCGATGGTTACTTAACCAAACCACTCAACAAGGATGTTTTCTTGAAAACTACTTCTGAAATTATTTGCAATGTATGACATTTTGTAAACCTGTTTTCTTTTGTACTCTTGATCCAATAGAAGCTGCTTTTTTTTGTTTTATAACATGACATGAGAAAATCTTCATGAATATTGGTTTAAATAAGAAGAAACAAGCTCTGCTCAATCGGTACCAGTAAGTATACAACTGGAGCTTTTAACCGAGCCTAAGACGTTCGTTAAAAAACCATCTAAATAAATCATTTGTCTTAAGTTTTCACATTCGACATTCTAACAGTCCCAATCTTAAACTTGGTCTTAAGCATCGATGAAACGGATGTCGAACGTATTTGGATGGATCCGCCACACATTAAAGGCTGCGTATTCCTCCAAGCACTCTTTCAGTTGGGCTTCACTGTATCCCTGTTAACAACAAGATTCGCTCGATGATTAGATATCCAGCCAATTAAAGCAATACATCGATCACCATATTATTAGCAAACTTGAACAACTTTTTCAAAGTTTATTTAAATATAATTTATTTGTTTTTTTGTACCTTTCTTGAAATCCAGTTCAGGGCATGGGCATAGCTGACATCCACCATGTTGTATCTTGCAGCTTCGTGGCGTAGCATAGAATAAATATCAGAAATTGCGTCGAGACCAGACTTGTGACGGTTGTCAGAGTACAGTGAGAACTTGGACATTTGCATTAACCTAAGTGACTCGTCCACGTCACTCTATACCTTGCTTGTATTTGATGACATAAGGAATTGACTCAATGAATTCCATCCATCGGGCATGCCTCTTGTTCATCTTGTGTTGTCCCTTCAAGTGCTTCAACGATTCACGATCCATGTGAAGGAGCAAGTAAAGGAGCTTTGGTTAACTTCTCCTTAATTAATTGAAATGATTTCTCTTGCTCGTCCCCCCACTTGAACACCACATTATTCCTTATCACCTCGGTCATTGGTGTTGTAATAGTGCTAAAATCCTTCACGAACCTCCTATAGAAACCAGCAAGGCCATGAAAACTTCGAACATTCGCTACACTCGTCGGACTTGGCCATTCTTGGATAGCTCGAACCTTTTCTTCATCAACCTAAATATCTTGTGCTTTTTTTCTTGACCGGCTCTGGTTGGTTGTTGTTGAGTGCAGGCTCTTTACGTTTTTCCAGTGTCCTGTCGGCAACAACTGATTTACTATTCTTCTTTTCAGTATGATTCAGTTTTGAGCGTGTCCTTTTGTGCACACTACTTGTTTTTTTTGTATCGATGTCCCGCATTGTGTCTTGTGGATCTTCAAAGTCTGTATCAACATCATTCGGCTTCTGCTCTTCTTATAGGGTCGAATCAATCAAAGTTTGCAGATTCTGCTCCATATCTTGTTCTCAGATTCAAGCCCCTCAATTCTGCTTTTTAGATTGGTCACTTGTGTTTTTGAACTGCCAACAGCATCAAACTCATTACCTGCTTCTCTGTGTTTGTTTTTATCAAACTCATTACCTAACATGTACACCCCCAAGTCTTCTGTGGGAGAATCAGAGTCTTGCCAAAGCCTGAAAAAGATTAATATCGATTAGTAATCAATTGCTTCTCCATCAAAGAAGAATAATAGTCAATAGGATATTAATTAGTATAAGCACTTACAGCAGATATCCTAAGAATGCTAAGTAGGGTTCTGACTGTTGTGTAAGAGTGAGGGGCATTTGATTTCGCCTCTTCCTACCGTATACTAGAATACGCACTTGGTATGTATTCCTCCAACTCCCTTGGAACAACAGGAGACAATTTTCTTACAGCAGAGATATACGCCCTACAATTCATGACAACAGTTTATCAGATCAAGCAAAATCATTCACCAAGTTATTCAGAAAGTAAAATCTTTGAGGTAAAATTTTACCTAAGAAAAGAAGGTTCGAGTGGAGAAAACCCGAGTTCTGGAGATTCCTTCATCTGGTGCACATGGAGAACATGGCGAACCATTTCAAGATCAGTATCCATATCTGCTCGGTCGAGAATCAACCACAAGAGATCAAACCTTGACAGAAGCGCAGGTGGGAGATTAATATTCTCCGCTGGTGTTCTCCTTAGATCATATTTAAAAAAAAATAAGATATTAAAAGTCATCAAACTTAGCATTAGGAAAAACTGAAACAGGTAAATTGCGATAAAATGAATGTGTTTGAATTTCAAAACGAAAACCCAGAGTTTGTGAATTTTGTACCAGGCTGGATTAGCGGCAGCAAGTATAGCAGTCCGTGCATTCAAAGAAGTGGTGATACAACCTTTAGCAATGCTGACAGTTTGCTGATCCATTACTTCATGTATTGACGTGCGATCTGATTCGTCCATTATGTCAAACTCATCGATTGCACATATGCCCATGATTGCACATATGCTTGTAAGTTCACCTTAAGTGAAAGAAAAGTAAAAATTGGAGGGACTCGTGCAAGGACTCTTAGCAGAGCTCCTCCTTCGAAGACCATCTCGTTTGTCACTGGATCCTTTTGAACAACTGCAGTCAGACCAACTCCACTACTTCTTTTCCCAGTCGTATACACACCTCCCGGTGCGACGCTGATTATATATTTGAGAAGTTGACTTTTTGCAACTCCTGGATCACCCATCAGACATACGTGTAGGTCTCCTCTAATCTACATTACGACACAAGGGTAGTTATTACCTTAAAAATGGTACAAATTTGTTGGAATTTCAAAACAAAAAAATGGATCCTCAACTTCTTTAAAGAACAAACCAGCAACATGCTACGCATCATCAGTTTTGTGGCATGGTATAAAATGCGCCATTTTAGAAAATCTATCAACGACAACAAAGATCGAATCCCTACAATGTTTTGACCTAGGAAAACCTAACACAAAATCCATAGAAATATCAATCCATGGTTCATTGGGAATAGGCAATGGTGTGTATAAACCATGAGACTTAGCTTGACAACATGTAACACACCTACCACAAATTATCTCAACATCTCTCTTTATGTGTGGCCAATAAAAGTGTTCTTTCAGCATGTGTAATGTCTTTTCGAAACCAAAATGACCCATAAGACCTCCCCCATGCGATTCAAGCACAAGTAATTCACGTATAGAACACATAGCAATGCAAAGTTTATCTTCCCTAAAAAAGAATGCCTCATGCCTATAGAACTTATCAAATGCACCCTTTTCACATGCTTGATAAACAGCACCAAAATCAGCATCTTGAATATACAACTCCTTATTTTTTTTCAAAACCAAGTAATTTAACATTAAGAGTAGAGATTAAGGTGTACCTTCGAGACAGTGACAAGCTTATCCATGCAAAATGTACATTTTAGCAAATTAGCATACACCTTCTCTTCCCTAAGCGCATGTAAAACAGATTTCAAATGCACAACATGATCATCCAGATTTTTGTTATAGATAAGAATGTAATCAAAGTAAACTACAACAAATTTACCAATGAAAGATCGCAAAACATGGTTCATTAATCGCATGAAATTACTAGGGGCATTAGTTAACCCAAATGGCATAACTAACTTGTTTTTCTCAGCCTCACGCTCTCTTTCTTTTGTACTCTCAATCATTTTCTTTTGATCACTCTCTTTTTGTAACCTCACTTGATCCTCATGGACCTGCTGCGGCGTTAAAGGAACTAGAGTGATTGTTGTTTAGTTGAACGCAAATGAGTACTTGTTGGTGAAACCATCATGCTTGACCCGTCGATCAGATGGCCACGGTCGACCAAGTAACAAGTGTCCAGCTTGCATCGGAACAACATCACACAGTACCTCATCTTCATACTTTCCAATGCAAAATAGAGCATAACTTTCTCATCCGGACACCAAATCAACTGGTTCCGGCGACATTAGAAAGCTATTTCAGCTAGCTAGAATAAATGTCTAACGGCAAATTTCGAAATTCGGACTCGAACATGCTCAAAATTGGATTCCAAAAGCGATCATGAAAATACGTGCTACAGTTCGAGGACATGAATGCGCATCAAGAAACGTGCACAAAAACACTCGCTAGAAAAGATACGCACACAAGTAAGAGTACAAAAGCATCCACAAAAGTACTCATGCAAAAGTGCATTCGCAAAAAGGATCATGAAAACACAAACTACAATCCTAGGACATTAATACAGATCAACAAACATGCACAAACACACTCGCTCAAATGGACATGCACAAATGTACATGTAAAAAAACATGCGCAAAAGTGCATTCGCAACAACGTTCTTAAAAACACGAACAACAACACTAGGACTTTAATACGCATCAACAAACAACAGCAAAAACACTAGATAAAAAAGATACAGTGGACTGTAGAAATAACACTCTACGTTTACAAGGATTTTTTTGGATTAATTTATATTTCTGTTTTAATTGTTGGATTTGGTATATTATAGGTACAAATCGGTAATTAGGTCTCCAAGAAGCAGTGATGATCAAAGAGTAAGAAAAGAGTTGCAATTAGGAAAAAAAAATCAAATTAGAAGAGAGGATCTCTCAATATCTTTGGTAGTGACCACGAAGTTGAGCATAAATTTCTCATCCACACTCCAAATCAACTTGTTCCGGCGGCATTAGAAAGCTATTTCAGCTGGCTAGAATAAATGTCTAACGGCAAATTTCCAAATTCGGACTCGAACATGGTCAAAATTAGATTCCAAAAACGATCATGAAAATACGTGCTACAGTTCGAGGACATGAATGCGCGTCAAGAAGTGCACAAAAACACTCGCTAGAAAAGATACGCACATAAGTAAAAGTACAAAAGCATGCACAAAATTACTCACGCAAAAGTGCATTCGCAAAAAGCATGATGAAAACACAAACTACAATCCTAGGACATTAATACATAGCAACAAACATGCGCAAACACACTCGATCAAATGGACATGCTCAAACGTACATGTAAAAAAACATGCGCAAAAGTGAATTCGCAACAACGTTTTTCAAAACACGAACTACAACACTAGGACTTTAATATGCATCAACAAACACCAAGAACACTAGACAAAAAATATACAGTTTAGTGTAGACTTAACACTCTACGT